TCTCTCTCTCTCTCTCTCTCTCTCTCTCTCTCTCTCTCTCTCTCTCTCTCTCCGGAAGACAAATGGCAGTTCGTGGCAATCGAACCCTTCAAGTGAGTGGGTTGCCACAGGTAGTGGAGTCAATCTCTCCATGTTGCATTGGTGACGTCGGCATCCAGCGTGTAGTTATCCTCTTCATTCCCTCCATGTTGCATTGGTGACGTCGGCATCCAGCGTATAGTTATCCTCTCTCTCTCTCTCTCTCTCTCTCTCTCTCTCTCTCTCTCTCTCTCTCTCTCTCTCTCTCTCTCTCTCTCTCTCTCTCTCTCTCTCCACATTTTTCTTCTATCAATGGGAAAACAATCGAGCGTGATGAGGGGGACCTGTGTGCCTGCTGCGCTCGAGGAGGAGATGCAGAAAGGCGGTGCGGAAAGACATCGACAGGTAGTGACGTTGTGAAAACACATTGCATCGAGGAGAAGGTATGCATGGCGATCCCCATCCTTCCCCCGAGCAGGGACAGAGAGACGAAAAAACAGAAGAGAGAGACAAGGAGCAGGAGGAGGAGGAAGGAGAGGAAGAAGACAGAAGAAGAGGAGGAGGAAAAGGAGGGGATGAAGGAGAAGGAAGAAGGAGGAGGAGCGAGAAGAAGGAGATGTGAACTAGCAGCCTTGAGGAAGAGGAGGAAGCAGCAGAAGGAGAGAAGACAATGACGAGAAGGAGGAGGAGGAAGAGGAGCAAGCAGACAGAGAAAAGCGAAGTCAATCACTAATGCGAGGATTTTCGTCCTCGGCAGGCTCGTGTTGGGGCCCGCTGCAAGCGTTGTGCCCGCCCTAAGGGAAGGTGGGTCTGCATTTCTCCAAGAGGTCTAAACTTGACATTTTCAGGGCCTTTGGGGCGCCAGACAGTTGCTGGGCGCTAGTTGGTTGAAGGGCCCAGCATGCTATGAGACTGAAGCATCCTGGGCCTTCTAGGATCTTCCAGGCTTGACGTGGGAGCAGACCTTTCGGCCTATCAGGACATAGCAAGTGAGACAAGCCACGTCGTACAGTTGGGTGCACCTAACAGTTTCTGTCCCAGGCGGCTATCTGAATTGGGCCTGGGCGCAGACACTTTGGCCCAACGTGAAGCTGGGCTCGTGGTCGCCAGACCGAGGCTGCCAGCACAGGCATGGGCTACATCTGCATGGGCTGCATCTGCACTTACTTTGCGTTCCGCTGTTGAACTGTTCTGGTTGCAACATTGTAGTGTAGGCTAGCATAGGAGCTGTGTGATCGTAGTTTGGGCGCTAAGCACCATTTAGGAGAAGACACATTGGACACATTGTTGATGATGGCGACATGAGGGCTGACGTTGACTATTGAGTCCATTGCTTTGGTCTCCTTCGGTGTGATATTCATGCATTTTTGCCTCTGGACAGCTCTTGACTCTCTGGCTTTCAATGTGATCTTGTAATTTGGATTTCTGTCATTCGCTTTATCTCATTATCCTTGCAATTTGGTATCGGAGCAGCTTCAAGCCTCTCCGTGGGCTCCAGCACATTGGTTGTTTGGTGCCGTGATGCGAGCATGCACGACAACGATAATGATATGGCGCTGGCTTGATAGGCGGCCCAGTGTTGCGTGGGTGCGCCTGGAAGGCTATGTGGTGACATAGGGGTGTATGTTTTGTGATGAGAACTTGCTGACATGGTATTTAAGCCGTGGTGGAACTGCATTGTATTGTGGGTTGTGATGAGGCAACGACCGGTCATCATAAATGCATGTCAGGTCAACTGGTGAGAAATCTGTGGTTGAGGGCAGCAAAGTGAGGTACGTTGCTCCTTACCTTATCTACCTCGTCAATGCTTCTTACGGTGAGGAAGTGTGTCCAGTCTTGAGAGTCCTCTCATTGTGAGGAGTTGGTGGGAGAGGGCAAAGTTTTCTGAAGGGCTGAGGTCGAAGCACTGGTTGCGGTCACCATGCCAACCCATGGGAGTAGAGCACGCATGCTTTGCTGCTTTTGTCCTTTGCCCGCTCGTGCTGCACATTAGAGGTGGTGTTGGGCAGGCCATCCCTATGGGAGAAAGACAAGTACCGGACCGTCAATGAAGAATCTCCGACAGGGACAATCAGCTCGCGCTGTACAGGAGTTCATAAATAGTACAGTCGGGGCTGGCCAGTTTTGCACTTACCAGGGCACAGGGGTGGGCAGTGTGCACACCTTTAGAGACAACGCTGAAACCGATGCTTTCAGGACATTGACCAGCAAGTGGCAATCAAGAAGGATCGAGGGGGTGGGCGTAATACAGTTGGCTGTTCGTTTTTTAATTTATGCAAAATATCCATTCAACAGACATTCCTTGCAAATGATTTTAGTTTTATTTTTGATTAGTGAGATGTGACTGACTGCTCACATCTGACAGACTGCTGTAGGTAGGACAGTCCATCCGTCTGTTTCTGCATTGCATCTGTTTGAGACTAGTCAAAATAGGAATAGAATTGCTTGCAGGGGTCTGAACATACCTGCTGATACCACTTGACTATTTCCCGTACACGCTGGACTGAATCTTTATCTTACTTATTTATTTTAAGCATAGGTCGGACACTATGCTGTGGTGGGTTTCAGCGGGGATGCTAGTACAGATTGTGAACTGGGTGTAGCTGATGAGTGGAGAAGATAGTGGAGGTGAGGGACTAGACGATAGGAGGCGGAGACCTACCCGATTGGCAGCACTTAGTCAGCCGATCACTTACCTGGTTCTAGGGCCGGGTGAGGAAAGGAGACTACGGCGAGAAGTTGAAGAGGGGCAGCGTTTGCAGAGGCACAGGTAGCAGCAGCTGAGGCGGAGAGGGCTTTCGTAGCAGCAGCAGTTGCACACGCTAGAGCCGAAGCAGCAGCTGTTATGGCTACGGCTTTGGCCACTTCGCAGGCGCAGGCCACAGCTCAGGCACCATCGTCGAGTGTTAGCGAGGGTACGTCGGGGCTGTCATCCAGTCAGTTTGCTGGGTCGCAGTACAGCCAGCAACCACTGCTGTCAGTAGAGGATTTGGAGATCTAGCAGGCAGATGTCCTGCAGACACAGCTACAAGACCAGTTACGAGAAGTAGCGAATAGGGGAGATAGAGCCAGGAGAAAGTTCAGACTAGAGGCTATGGATGAGACAGCAGTCACTCCCGATGTTAAGGCACTTCGGGTAAGTCTCCTGAGCATGGCCGAGGTGCAGGCCGGGCAGCAGGACATGCTGTCCACTCTCATAGTGGGCGAGGGCCAGGTCCTGGCAGCACTCAGAGGTCCTAGGACTCTGCCTAGGCCTGTGCAACCTGCGGCAGCTGCTCCGTCGGCGGCCGGTCTGTCCGTGTTCGCTGCCACCTTTGAGAGGTCCCTTCGTACCTCAGTTTGGCATTATTCCTGCGGGCGGTCCATCAATAGGTGCTAGTTGGCAGATCCCCGCTCTTGCTTCGTCATATTTCGTCCAGCTGCTGCAGCTACAGGGCAGCAGCCAGTCCAGCAACCTGTGCAACAGGTTCAGCAACCCCTGCAGCAGGTTCAGCAGGCCCCGCAGCGGTTCAACAACCTGTTCAGCTGGTACAGCCACCGGTTCAGCAGGCACAAGTAGTGTGACCCCAGCCACAGCGGGTTCCCAAAATACCGTTGGCAGCTCCCAAACCTTATTCGGGCGACAAGAAGAAGGATGAGAACCTTAACACATGGTTGAGGACAGTCCCGACATACACGAGGCATAAACTCACGTCGCACGAGGAAGAGGTAATCGTGGTTGCATCCTACTTAGAACGATCAGTAGGAAGGTGGTTAAATGGGATAGTACATCATGAGGGATACGGAACTTCGACGCTTGGGCTCAGGCCAGGAGTCTGGAGGACTTCTTAAGGTTGGTAGAAGAGAGGTGGCATGACCCGTAAGAGGCGCAGAAGGCCACTGATGCGTTGGCAAATCGTGGATGTAAAAGATACAGATCTGTCCGCGAGGTTACTGGCGCAGTAGAGAGACTGATCGTTGTCCTAGGGGTGAGGTATGACCCCCAGATCCTCAGGACAACATACTTCAGATGTCTGCCCACAAACATCAAAAGCATGTTGGTCAGTGATGCTTCCACCGATGTGCACGATTTTCCCTCCTTCAGCAAGAAGGCTCTAGACTTAGAAGCCAAGCTAGGGAAAGGACAGCTGGCTGCAACAGACGGGAGGAAGAAGAAGCTTCCCCAAGATTGGAGAAAGAAAGGCAATCTTATGTTCGTTGATATTTATGGTAACACAATTGAAATAGAGGACTTCTCATAGCTTGGGGAAGAAATAGAGATAGCCAGGGGTATATAGACTATGGAGGGTGTAGTAGTAGACCCCGTAAAAGAAAAGGCTAAGGGGACCGGGACGCAAAAAGGTAGATGGTTTAAGCCACCAGTACCTTTCTCAGCTATTGATGCCGAGTCTAAAAGTGCCCAGCGCGCCAATGTTTGCCGAGCCTCGAGGGGGCGGGTACCAGTACGGGACATTTGTTGGCTGGCACCGGTGCCGTGCCTTATGGTAGACCTGCCCCTGGGAGCTGGAACAAAACACGGCAGTCTTTTCCTTGTCTTCACTCGTGTACAGCTCCTGGCTTGGCTAGACGCACAGTCAGATACAATCTGCAGAGGGAAAAAAAAAAAAAAGTGCTGCGGCCCTGAAATGACCGAGGCCTGCAACTGCTCCCCTTCTCTAGCGGGGAGTCACCTTAGAAACGGCCAAGATTCTTCTTTCTGAAAAAAAAAGAAAAAAAAACGAAGCAAAAAAAAACTTCTAAACACTTCGTAAAAAGGACATAATGTCTCGTCAGTGTTGTCAGCAGCCCGCCTCTCACAGCAGGCAGGATGACGAGACATGATTGACAAAACAAAAAAGAAAAAAGAAGCGAGTAACCCCTCAGCCACGGGCAAAACACAAAAGAAACGGCTGTGTTTCCATGTTCCAGAGCAAGATTCATCTCATATTGTAAGTAGTGAAAGGACCCTGGTGTGAGCAGGCCCTCAGCTACAGGCAAACGATGAGAAAGCTGAAAAATGAAGAATGGAAAAATGAAAACCATTGATAGTGGCTGTGTATCTTTCCATGTTCCAAAGGACTATTCAATCTCGTTTTGTGAGCAGTGTAGGGAGGCCCCTTGTCTGAGCAGGACCTCAGCTACGGGCAAATGAAGAAAGAGTTAAAGAGAAAAGGACAAAAAAACTGTGTTAAACTCCGGGCCGCCCGGCGGCCCAGCCTCCATCCGGCAGGGGTCCCGGGCGGCCCGGCCGGTTGGGTCCCCCGGTTTGATGCCGGGCGGGCCCAGCGCATTTTTGCGCGGGGGGTTGGGGAGGCCTTTTTCGATGTTTTTTCGCGCTTGGGAGCCTCCCCGGCCCCCCACGCAAATTCTTCTGCCAACTGCACATACTTTCGGGCCGCCTTCGAATTTGAACGTCGTCGCTGCCCGCCTAAGAGGTTCCAGTCGCTGCCCGCCTTCGTCGAGTTGCCCGTCATCGATGCCCGTCGTCACTGCCCGCCGCCGCTGCCCGTTTCCCAGCTCGTCGTCGCTGCCCGCCGTCGGAAAGCTGCCCCGTCGTCGTTGATACGGTACAGTGTCGCGAAGTGACACGTGTCCTCTCTCTCTCTCTCTCTCTCTCTCTCTCTCTCTCTCTCTCTCTCTCCTCCTCCTCC